AGTGAGAGGCCCACGTACCGAAAACAACAACATCAACAAAAAAAACCCTAGGCCTACACAATGGCTAATGACCTGCAAATTCTAATTAAAATGTCTCGGCCTCGGTTGTATTACTGACCTCTCTCTCTCTCTCTCTCTCTCTCTCTCTCTCTCACACACACACACATAGCTCTGCAGACCATGGAAGTGCAAAATTATCACTGCTGTTTAATTTTTTTGTTTAATAATTTCAAGATTATCATGGACTGACGGGAAGTTGTGAAAATACTGGAGTCCTGTGTGCCTTTCAGCCAGCCTCCCCCAATGGTGACATCTTATCTCGCCCTAGGACAATATCAAAACCGAGAAGTTACATCCAACTGACTGGTCACCTGACTGCAAACCTTCTCCAGGTTTCGCCATTTCTGACCTGTGCCTGTGCATGTGCGCACGCGCATCACCTACACACGTAGCGTGTATAATTTTATCCCATGTGTCCATGTGTGATCATCTCTGCGGTCAAGACGCAGAGCTCTTTCATCAGCACGAAAGAACTCCCCCAAAGCAGCCCTGTGCAGGTGGACCAGCCACCCGACGCCCAGCAGCCATCTCTGCAGGCTTGCCATTTTCAGAGTGCTCTACAAAAGGAACCATATAGTCTGCGGCCTTTGACGATGGCTTGTTGCTTCCAGCACATCTCCTTGGAGACTCACCCAGGCTGTGTCATGTATCAATAATTTGTTCCCACTTATTGCTGAGTGGGACTCTGGGATATGGACATATCACAATCTGTTGAGCCAATCACAGACATTTGGGAAATCTCCAGTATACTGCTATTGCAAAAAATGCTGTTTTCAGTATTATTTTAAAAAAATAACCAGATTTTTGTAGGATACCAACCTAGCTTAAAAATGACGCTATGTGTGCCAAGGACTCACCCCAAATGCTGTACAGTTCTATTAAAAAGCCTTTCAGTGTTAATAATGTCACTGGGGAATTTAAGTGGTTTCTTATCTTCCTTTTGAGACATATTTTCCAAACTCTGAAATACTCTATACACAAAACTTACCTATAATACTGTGATTTATTTAAAAGTTGTGGTTAAAATATACATGATATACATGCACCGTTTTACCTATTTAAAGTGTCCAGCTCAGTGGCATGAAGCACATTCATACTGCTGTGCAACCACCTTCACCGTCCATCTGCAGAACCTGTTCCTCTTCCCAAGCGGAGACTCTATCCCCGTCCCACATGAACTCCCCCTTCCCTCCTTCACCTGCCGGCACCCACCTTTCCGTCGGTGCGGACATGACTCCTCCAGGGACCTCGTGTGAGTGGAATTGCGCAGGATCTGCCTTTGGGGACTGGCTTACTTCACTGAGTGCAGGGCCCTCAAGGTCCATCCCCGTGGGAGCACGGGTCCGAGTTCCCTTGCTTCGTAAGGCCGGGTAACATCCCACCGAATGGAGGCACCACACTGTGTTTCCCTCTCATCCGTCCATGGACACTGGGCTGCTTCCACTGTGATTTTTTTTTTTTTTTTTTGGCTATGTTGGGTCGTTTCTGTGCGAGGGCTTTCTCCAGATGTGGCGAGCAGGAGCCACTCTTCATTGCGGTGTGCGGGCCTCTCACTGTTGCGGCCTCTCCCGTTGCGGAGCACGGGCTCCTGACGCAGGCTCAGTAGTTGTGGCTCACAGGCTCCAGACGTGCAGGCTCAGCAGTTGTGGCTCATGGGCCTAGTCGCTCCGCGGGGTGGGATCCTCCCAGACCAGGGCTCGAACCCGTGTCCCCTGCATCGGCAGGCAGATTCCCAACCACTGCACCAGGGAAGCCCCCACTGTGATTCTTTTTTTTTTTTTTTGTGTGGTATGCGGACCTCTCACTGTTGTGGCCTCTCCTGTTGCGGAGCACAGGCTCCGGACGCGCAAGCTCAGCGGCCATGGCTCACGGGCCCAGCCGCTCTGCGGCATGTGGGATCTTCCCAGACCGGGGCACCAACCGTGTCCCCTGCATTGGCAGGCGGACTCTCACCCACTGCGCCACCAGGGAAGCCCCTCACTGTGATTTTTTTAAGGAACATTTTACTGCCCCCTCAAGGCTGAAGCTCATCTTTTCCATTGGGTTCTCTAAGACATCACCCCTCCTTACTACAGCAGCTCACAAATCTGAGATGAGCAGCTGGGGACAGACAGGACACTTAATGCAAACTGCTCCATCTTTAGTTGAGCAGAGATTCTAATATAATTAAACCAGAGGCCGGCAGAAGGGTATCGGTGATTTCTGACATGACTGATAGCTCCCCGCTCAGAGTATCAATGGCCTCAGAGAAGTGTCTGCTCTACTGCTGGACTGAAACCCCCAGGAACCCTCCTTGAATCCGGAATGGTTGGATTAAGACACACTCGTTCACAGGCCCCAAGTCACCTGGGGCTTTTTCAGAGGGGACCTCTTCACCCTCGCAGTCAGATGTGTGTTATTTCTCTCCTAACAGAAGCTCCATGAAGTGAATGAGAAATATCATCTCAGTTCTGTTTACAACCTTTAGAGCCTGGCTACACAGTATTTCCCGCTCCTCCTTATGTGCAAGGATGATATGTAACACATAACTGTGTATATTATGTAATATCCATGTACATTATGTAAATCAAAGGAAACATGGTTGATTCTACCTGGCCAGTCACATGAGTGCAGGTATCGTGGCTCTTTAGGATAATGGTACCTGTCTGGCGTGCAGACTTTTACTTTTTGTTTTTTGTTTTTTGTTTTTTGCGGTACGCGGGCCTCTCACTGTTGTGGCCTCTCCCGTTGCGGAGCACAGGCTCCGGACGCGCAGGCTCAGCGGCCATGGCTCACGGGCCCAGCCGCTCCGCGGCATGTGGGATCCTCCCGGACCGGGGCACGAACCTGCGTCCCCTGCATTGGCAGGCGGACTCCCAACCACTGCGCCACCAAGGAAGCCCCAGACTTTTACTTTTGAAAACCACTGATGTTGCTCTCAGAATAAGGCACCTACGGCAATGCTAATATAGGCAAAACATATGCGTGATAGATTGGCCTCTCGACCACGAATCATGACAGATCAGAAAGTAAATTCCAGCGTATGAGGAGTTTTCAATCCTACTGGGAAGTCTTTAAATCTCTACAACGAAGAAAGAAGTTCACCATCCTGCTGATTTGTGATATATGATAAATGAATTTCTACCATCTATCATAATGATAAGCTCCTCTTACCGTCTAAAATGTTAAAAAAAAAAACCAGCCACTGGGGACACGCAGCCTGGTAGCACACCCGCACCTGGCAAAACATTACGGAAACAACTTCTCACTTGTGTTCCTTGGTCACTGTTATAGTTACCACCACAGTCGTCAAGTGGTTTTGATTAAGCCTCTGTCTGTTCTTCCTGGTGTGCAAATGTCAGTCACAAAACTCACAGTAGAGAAACACTTCCCCAAGTTTCAGTGACGTTAATACCTTGGGTGTGTAGTCAAATCAACGCATGGAAACTTTTAGCATCTGCCCTACCTGGGGCCCTGCCGGCAGGAATCCTGCTATCTACCTGGAAGCCGGCCCAGATGGACGTATGTCCTGCCCACAGGCTCAGTCTTACCCACTGGAGGGCTGGCCAGGCTGCAGAGTTTCCTAGTTTCCCGCAGAAAGGTGCCTGCTTAAGGAGGAGCTGGTGTGCACGGGCGGATGTTCTCTCACTCAGCAGATCTGGGGAAACTGTGACCCCGGTACAGGCTCACGAAGGCTAATTTTAAACCCTGAGAGGAAGCGTAAAACTTCATCAGTATCCTGTAGATATATCTGTGGGGAACAGTGTCCTTTTACTTACTTTCCATCATGTCCTGCGCCCCAGGAACCAATTAGCTCTACAACTAGAATCAAACCTATAAAACCACTGATGGTTGTGAAGTGCCTCGCTGCCGAGTGAGACAGAAGAGGATGTGGTGGCTTCTGATAAACTAAACCCACACTTGTCACACGGCCAACCAATCCCACTCCCAGATACCAACCCAAGAGAAGTGAAAACCCACGTACAACAAAAGCCTGTAAGCAAACGTTTGCAGCAGCCTTAGCTGTAATCGTCAAAACCTGGGGACAACTCAAACGTTCTCACACAGGACAAAGGACTAACCGCCCTGCATCCCTAAAATGGGATATGAGGTAGCAATAAAGAAGGAACTACTGATGTATGCACCAGTGTGAACGAACATCAAACGCACCGAGAGAGGCCAGACCGTCAAGGCTCCCTGCTGGAAGATTCCACTCCTAAAACATCCTTGCAGAGGCAAAACTACAGGGACAGGAAGCAGAGAGGTGCTTGCCAGGGGCTGCAGTGGGGGGAAGGGCCACAGGGGACTTTTTGGGGTGATGGAGCTGTTCCGTATCTTGATTGTGCTGGTGGTTACACAACGGTAAACGTTTGGCAAACACTGCAAATCTGTACTCCAAAAAGGGTGAATTTTATGGCATGAAAATTATACCTTACATTAAAAAAAAAAGAAAGAAAGAAAAAGAAAAAGATGGTACAGATGAGGGTGGGGAGGGGAGAAGCAGCCACATCTAACAAGGAAAGGTCATGTCTGTCTTCTCCAAGGCTGCCAACTGAGATGAATGAGAAAAAGGTCTTGGCATCGTTTAACGTCATGGAGGATCTGGCCCCAAACCCCCAGACCTTCTCTCCTTTCCAGAATTAATGGTGACATTGACCCAGCTCCATATGAGACCATCTTTCCCTCCATCCGTCATGGAGCTGGTCCTGTGCACACGATATAACAAAGACACTCGAGCTTGTTCGTGACAGATCTCCAAACCCATTCATTCAGCTCCTTCACCAGAGCCTTGGCAACTCCCGGCGTGTAACCCCCCTGGTTGTGTAAAGAGCTGCCTGCCACCAACGCTAGCGTCCACTGGGTCCCTGCCCCACTGGATCTGGGAGAACAATTTTTCTTTATAATTTAGATTTGAGGATGAGGCCCCAGAGGAAATATTTAATATGCCTACAGAGACTCACTTATCGGATGTCCTCACTTCTCATACCGACGCCGGGCTCCGCTACTGCATTCACAAAGGGCAGCGGGGAGGAACTCACGGTTCGCCCAGCGTTTGGAGGGGCTGCTCGCAGAAGCCCAGGCAGGCTGACACGCATCCACACTGAAAGAACACGGAAAACACCGAGCAGCTCAGAGAGGCTTGGCCTTCTTAAACAGGCTGTTCATTGATCCAACCTGGAGTTGTTTTACAGAGACAGCCCTGTGTCAGCACAAGACGAGAACCCATCTCCAGGATGACCCTGGAACCAAGAATCTTCAGTCTGTGGAACTCAGAGAATAGAAATGTTGCCACCAGAGCCCTTCATGAAGCGAGAGACCCTTCAGTAAGGAAAACCTGGCTTCCAGCAGTGCGAGGAGCTTGTACGGGCCGATTGGAGACTAGCCAGTCAGGTTCCAAGTTCAAAACTCCCCCAACCCTTTGAGTTTTGCCCCAAACCCTGGATCAGGGAGACAGATGTGAGTCCTGCCCCTTGTGTCCTGGCAGGTTGACCTCGCAAAAGACCTCCTTCTTCTCTCAAAAGGTGGTGGCACAGTACTGGCTTCTGTGCGTGCTGGGCAGTGAGCCTTTGCTCGGATCGTGAAGCGAACTTATGGGCTGCGGGGCAAAGACGCTCTGCCACAATCTGCTTCTTAAAAATTGCCCAGACGGCAGATCTGACCACACGACTAACCCCTGTAAGGCAGAGGCCAACGGACTCCTAGCCCTCAAAACTGGACTACCGGTAACTCATGCAAAAACCAACTGAGCCACTCTGGTGCCAGAGCTGGTCAAAATCTCCTCCTGCTGAGTTGAAAAGCCTTGCTTACTAACTAACCAGCTTCACTTATCAGGCTGCCACGAAGCGCAACTGTGAGATGTCACAAATCAATAGTATTTAGGGAGTGCTTTCTACGGGCACGGCCCTTGCTTCAGACAATGAACAGTGACAGCAAGCCTTTAAGGAAAAGGCTGTGGAATATATATACAGCTGGGTGAAGGTCAGGGAAGAGTCCCAGATGATACGAATTCTGCCTCTTGAGGGCAGAAACACAAAACAAGTCCATTTTCAAGATTCTTTCCTGAGTTTGCAGAGGTGAGATGTGGATTCGCACAACACTTTCAGGAAAGTATCATTTCAATACCCTGCCTTCCTGCTATCTGGGGGGATGAATGTTCTGTCGGTTATCTTACTTGCAGCCGAAAGCATCCTACCTGATATGTGATTCGTTTAGTGCAGGACTCTCTGTATCAGCTCAGGCTGCAGGACCAGGAGTGCCCGTGGTTGCAGGGAACTTGTCCCTCGAGGGGGGGGTGGAACTCTGAGTCTATCCCTGGTTGTGAGGTGATGAGCAGATCTACCAGAGAACCAGGGGTCCGCCTCACTGCGGGGTCCTCGCCATCTACCATCTCCGTCCTCCTCCACACCCACTTTCTTCTACACACAACCTGAGGAAGAAGATTACTGAAGACGTCACAACAGAGAACTTTCAACCTCTAGTAGAGAAGCCACGCTGGGAGGGGTTGAGGAATGAATCACGTGTCACAATACAGCACTTAGCTTTAACGCATTTGATGGTGATAAAGGAGAGGGAGCACAGATACTTAATCAAGAGACCTTTTTCTTTCTTTTCTTTTTCTTTTTTTTTTTTAAATTAGAAAGGAAACATTAACAGGCCAAGGAGAAGGTGCTCTTGGCACTTGGTGGGTGCTCAATAAACATATGCTTAACCAAAGCTTGAGATTTGAGATAAACATGTACAACAACCCCAAAATGAACACTTACACATTAGGCATTTCTTCTTTGGGGCATGTCCTCGTGGGGTACTCGAGTCAGTCGTCAGAGGAACACAGAGTCATCTCTTAACTCCTCACTCAACCTATGGGACTTTCTCTAGGGAGTCTGACAAATTAGGACAGCAGTTCAGCGGACAGTTACATGCAATCAGCATTGATGAAATTCTATACATTGCTGTCTCCCGAGTCTCTGTCTCAGTTGCCTGGTTACAGAAACTTTATCAACAAATGTGAGACAAATGTAAACAGACACCAAAAAAGGAAGTTTCGCCTTTCTGGGGGAGGAATGGAGATTTCTGTGTTTACTCAAAGAGGTCAGCAACGCTCTTGCCCCACGGCCCTACGAACCAACCACCGGGAGAAACCTTTCTCTGGGTTACACAAAAGCTTTCTCTCACACCCTTTATTTACCCTGATGTGCACAGACAGAGGGGTGGGAATTTTAGCCTGTGATTTGTTTACACATTTTGACTGTGCTTTTACCTTCATCCTATCTTTGGGAGGAGGTGTTTCTAAAAGGAAAGAATCCCAAATTCAATGCTGGAAATCTACAGGGAGACAGGGTGTGGTACATGGAATTTTCACTTGCAATCGTTTCTGGGAATCTATCAGATCAGTGCTAGGGGAACACGTGTACTCCAGCTGAGAGATTCCCTGGTTAAGTTCTGAGGTTAAGGTATCAGAGCAGTGGTGGTGATTTCCCTGATTTACAGGGGTGAGGCAGTGCCTATTTTGTCTTGCTTATCCATTTTTTATACTATGTTCTGGCAAAAGCTTATCCAAATGTTCAAGTGTATATGTAGAAAGAACGTGTACTTTCCATGACTAATTCTAGCTGGGGTCGCTAGCAGAAAGAGAGATCCAGGCTTGGGTGGGGAGAGGTTTATTTATAACATGCTACATGCCCGATGTATTTCATCCCTTTTGCCCAGGATAACCTTTTTTTTTTTCTAATTTATTTATTTAATTTTTTGGCTGCATTTGGGTCTTTGTTGCTCTGAGCAGGCTTTTCTCTAGTTGCGGAGAATGGGGGTGACTCTTCCTCGTGGTGCACGGGCTTCTCACTGTGGTGGCTTCTCTTGTTGCAGAGCACCGGCTCTAGGCGCTGTGGGCTTCAGTAGTTGCAGCAGGCAGGCTCAGTAGTTGTGGCTCGTGGCTCTAGAGTGCGGGCTTAATAGTTGTGGCGCACGTGCTTAGTTCCTCTGCGGCATGTCGGATCTTCCCGGACCAGGGCTCAAACCCATGTCCCCTGCACTGGCAGGTGGGTTCTTAACCACTGCGCCACCAGGGAAGCCCCAGGATAACCATTTTTCCAATGGGTAAATAATGTGTTCAAGAATAAGAATCGAGCCATTTGGTTTGCCTTCAAGGCCTGCCCATCGCACCCTTCTGGGTTGACCCTGAAAGAGCCCGTCCCAGGGGCCCACAGTTGGTTCACCCTGAGTCCTAGCACGTGTGTTTCCGGCAAGTGGGACCTGGGAATTGGCTTCCTTCTTGAAAAATCAAGTTGCAGAATATATAAAACATGACACCAAGTGTATAAAGCTTAAATGTGTGCAGAGCAAACTGTTATAGGTTGAACTGTCCCCTCAAATTCATATGTTGAAGTCCTACCTCCCAGTACTCCTCAGAATGTGACGTTATTTGGAAAAAGGCTTACTGCAGATGTAATTAGTTAAGATGAGGTCGTACTGGAACACCATGAGCCCCTAATTCAATATGACCGTGTCTTTACAAAAGGAGAAACCTGACAAATTTAGACAGAGAGGTACATGCACAGAGGGAGAATGCCACGTGAAGGTGCAGGCATGTATCAGGGGATGATGCACCTACAAGCCAAGGAGAGCCAAAGACAGCCGGGAAAGCACCAGAAGCTGGGAGAGAGGCTGGGACAGACTCCATCACAGCCCTCAAAAGGAACCACGCCAGCTGACACCTTGCTTTGAGACCACTGCCCTGCAGAACACTGAGACAATATATTTCTGTTCAAGCCACCCCACCAAATCACCCCACCCCCATATAAATACACCATATGTACACACCAGCCCATAAATGCTCTCCCTGTGCTGGGGGCCAGGAACCCCAAATCACCCCACCCCCATATATACACACCATATGTATACACCAGCCCATAAATGCCCTCCCTGTGCTGGGTGCCAAGAACCCCAAATCACCCCCGCCCCTCACCGTATCTATCACAACTGCTCTTGATCTTAATTCCAATCTGATTTCACTTGAACAGAAACGTCAGGGGAAAGAAGAACATACTGCCTCATCCCGCCCCCGGAATGGGACGGCCCCAGAACCTTCTCCTCCCCCCTGTAATCCTCTGAACAAGAGTGTTCTGAGCTCTTCTTTTTCTATAGCCTGAGTGTTCGACCAGTGCATGGCTGCTCGCCTTGCACTTGGCATGTGGAAGATGATTTCCTACGGACAGGAAGCCTCCGTCTTACCTGACTCCTGGAGATAGCGATACACCAGAAAGTTCACCTCGTCACTGGTTATGCTCATCTTAGCCTCACCTCGCGGCGATGAGGTCTTTACGAAGCGGGGGCCACCTTCTGTGAGAACGCTGAGAGGAGAAAGTGGAAGAGAGTTTTGAAACACTGCTTGTAGTTTTTTTTTTTTTACTGCATTCTTTTTGAGATGATTAAAAAATACAATACTCAGGATGTTGCACATGTGAAGGTAATTAATGCCTGATCCGTGTTGTATTTTGTGATTACATAAAGATTTTATATTTGTGTGTGTGTGTGCATGTATATATAGACACATTCATACAGGTGAAAGTTTTCCCAAAAAAGATGAGTTGGTGTATTTTATAAATGCTGGGATGGACTCATATATAAACCACTAATGGAGACAAACTCAGGGGCCACAGAAAATGAGAACAAACACTGATTTTTTTTTTTTTTTTTGCTGTACGCGGGCCTCTCACTGTTGTAGCCTCTCTTGTTGCAGAGCACAGGCTCTGGACGCGCAGGCTCAGCGTCCATGGCTCACGGGCTCAGCCGCTCCGCGGCATGTGGGATCTTCCCGGACCTGGGCATGAACCCGTGTCCCCTGCATCGGCAGGCGGACTCTCAACCACTGCACCACCAGGGAAGCCCCCAAACACTGATTTTTTATTCACTAAAGTGTGCGTTATGATCACAACGCAGTTGACAGCGAGCTTGAATGGAATCCCGATGCGCAGTGGGACAGACGCGGCTGCCTTCGATGCCGCCCTTCCCTAGACAGATGGGGAAGACGACCGGGCAGGCCAGCAGGCACGTCGACACCCCCAGGCAGGGCGACCATATGGTCTGGAAAACACCTGTGGCTCTGAAGCAGCGATTAATCGTAACACCTTCCACTGATAAAAGTTCAGTGATGAACTTGACCGTCACTGAGCCTATAGGGTGCACATGGCCCTGAGAAGGCAGACACACATCAGTGTGGAGCTACGTCAGCGTATGTGTCACCCTGACATGACTTCTATACAGAGGCCAGGTGTCCGGAAGCCAGCCCATGGACACAGAGAGAACCTTCATCGTTTGTATTTTGCCACAGAACTGGCTGCATCAGTGTGGCCGAGGCCGCAGTACGGGAAGGCACGTAGAAATCTGGGGGAGGAGTGAGGGGGTGATGAGAACTTCGGAAGCCTCTGTGTCTGAGGCAGACAAGAAGAAAGAGCCTTATTTTCTTCACAGTCCTAAGTCAGACCCATGAGCGCCCTGGCCCAAAGAGGACAGAAGTCACTCAAATAGAACTCTTTTACCCACAGATAGAGCAGAATTCACACGTGTGTAAGAGCATTCACTCCAAACGGCAGTGGCCGAGAAGGGCCACAACTTCCTTCAATTATGTCGTCAATACCGAACATTTCAGGCTGTTTGGGAACTGTCTTCAGAGTCCATGCCATATGTTTTCAGGCAGCTTTATGGTGGCAAATCTTTCATTACTGAATTACAATTAAATTTCCATTTGTTTAGAACAAGATAAAAGGACAAAATGCACATTTCAAGTTGGGAGGATTTGAATTAAAGGTTGTCATAATGGACACACCCCACGATGGCCCCCCAATGAGTCCCACCTGATATAATCCCCTCCCCTCCAGTGTGGGCAGGACCTAGGACTCCCTTTTACCACACAGAATATGTCAAAGGAGATGGATGCCACACCCTGGTTAGGTTACATGGCAAGGATGACCGGATGTCACTCCTGTAATTGTTACATTACGTTGTATAAGACTCTTACTGGACTGGAGAAAGACTCTCCTGCCGGCCTTCACACGAACCGCCCAGGGAACCAAGGGCAGTCTTTAGGAAGCTGTGCGCCTCAGTCCTACAACCACAAGAAAACTGAGTTCTGCCAACAGTGTGGGCTTGGAAGAAGACCCTTCCCTTCCCAGCTCTAAATAAGGATGCAGCCCAGTAACCACGTGGCTGCAGCCTCTGGAGACCCTGCGCAGAGGAGCCCCGCACATGCCCAGTCTCCCAACCCTGGGAAACTGTGAGAGAATGAACGTGTTGTTTCTAGCTGCTGAATTTGTGGTCATTTGTTATGCAGGAGCAGATAACTAATACAGTGGCCTCTTGGGACACTCCAGTTCTCACTTTGCCGTCTTAACAAGGTTTTAATTTGTGGTTACCAGAATTTTGTCATGCAAAAATACTTATCTTCTTCACTTAATTAGGTGGTATTTCTGCACTTCTGTAGACACTGGAAAGAAAATCTGACGGTCAGAATATACATGTGTCCTGAGACGTCTGCTTGAACTCTGGGGAGCTCACACAGAGGATGGCATTAGGAAGGTATCTGAGACTAAATAAAAAGCTATGAAATCAGAGCATATACAAGTGAAAAAATAAAACACTGCTCAAGGGACAGAACAAATAATAATAGAGATGTGCACTGCAGAACAGTGTGGCTCTAAAGAGACTTTTGATGACCCTGAGTGGCAGTAATGACAGAGACTCAGTTCTCATGAGGAATTCAGTTGCAGGTTCTCTCTATGCTAAATGGTAAATGGTGGCGCCACTGGGATGTGATTAGGTCATGAGGGTGGAGCCCTCATGAATGGGTTAGTGCCCTTATAGAAAGAGGCCCCAGAGAGTTCTCCCTCTTTCTGCCACGTAAGAACACACTGTTGCACACTTAACAGACTACAGTACAGTGTAAACCTTACATGAAGGGAAGATGGTGGTATCTGGCCCTCACCAGATACCGAATCTGCTGGTGCCTTGAATGCTGGACTTCCAGCCTCCAGAACTGTGGGAAATAAATGTTTGTTGTTTAGGCTGTCCAGTTTATGGTACTGTGTTATAGCAGCCTGAATGGACTCAGACACCACCCCTAACTCCCTTTTCTTTTACTGTCATTTTGAGTACTTATAAACAGTGAAATCTAATCTAACCAACAGGGTCTCTCAGCCTCAGGGAGTTTGACTCGGGGCCAGACGATTCTCTGTTATGAGAACACTCTGCACACTGTAGGATGTTTAGCAGCATCCCTGGCCTCTTCTCACTAGACTAGACGCCAGCACAACCTCCCCTCCATCCCCTACGGTGGTGATGATCAAAAACACCCCCAGACATTGCCTAATATTACAAATTGCTAAACTGCTGCTGGCTGAGAACAACTGTTATACAGGAAAACTAAGCATTTTGTGTTTGAAATGAATCCCATTTATAAAATTGTAAGACACCGTGGAGCTAGCTCATAGACATTGCTTAATGAAACGGCCACGCTACTAAAAAGGATCCTTTAAAATGCACCATAAGGGCTTGGCTTTTTCAAATAGTCTAAGAAAATTTCTGTTTAAGCTCTAGCTCTCTACTTTCTGATCCCAGATTCATCTTCTCTCTGAAATTTTAAGTTAGAATCCAAGGATCAGAGTGTTTTCCCCAATATGGTGTTAACTTCTTAAAGGATTTTTGATTTGTAAACAGCAGAGGAAAGAAAACAAAAACCATCCCCGGCCTGCGATAGAACCAGGGATGTCATACCATTTGGTCCACAAGAGTGTCATGTGTTTCTACTGACTGGTCCACCTCAACATAGGCACACCTGGAGGTATTGTGGTTCAGTTCCAGACCACAGCAATAAAGTGAGTCACAGGATTTTTTTCTGATTCCCCAGTGCATGTAAGAGGTTTACACTATACTGTAGTCTATTAAGTGTGCAACAGTATTATGTCTAAAAAAAGCTATATAACCCAATTAAAAAATTTATTGCTAAAAAATGCTAACCAAAATCTGAGCCTTCAGTGAGCTGTAATCTTTTTGCACTAACATCAAAAATCACTGATCATGGGCTTCCCTGGTGGCGCAGTGGTTGAGAGTCCGCCTGCCGATGCAGGGGACACGGGTTCGTGCACCGGTCCGGGAAGATCCCACATGCCGAGGAGCGGCTGGGCCCGTGAGCCATGGCCGCTGAGCCTG